AAGATCTATGGCAAATACACGGGAGGTAAGGTCCCAGAGCTATCTGGCTTCGACCAGGCCGAGATGGCCCAGATCCTGAGAAACGAACGACGACCACCTCCCCCCGCACAGGCTGCCTTCCGACCTCCCGCAATGCTCGATGCTGCTACTAGTCAGACCAGTCTCGGCGCTCCGAATGCGCCCTCCAACTATGGCACTCCCTCGCCTGGCCCGCCAGGCCCTCGCCGACCACCACCTCTCAACGGAATGGCAAATAACTCACCAGTGGGGAGCATGGGATCTTCATTCTCGCAAGAACCTCCTACGCTGAGAAGATTCGGGAACAAGAGCCAAGAATCTTTCTCGCCTTCCTTAGGAGGCAGAAGCGACGATACGGGAAGCATGCCGCCCCGCTCACGAAATGGTATGCCTGGACAGGCAGCCTTTGGTAGATTCGGTGAGCCAGGTCAAGAGCCTGGACTGGGACCACCTCCACCAATCTCAGAAGAAGGCAGACCACCAGAGAGGAAGAGACCACCGATGGATCCGGCAAGGCCCCAGGGACAGGGCTTCAACGACAGAGACCTGGTTCCTGCGCCGTTAGTGAGCCCGGGGATGCGACGAGATCAAGTTGCCCCTCCTCCAAGAAGTACAGCCAGGAAGAACTCCCTTTCGCAGAGGTCAGACGGAGGTTCCTACAACAATCGACCAGTCACACCTCTTACGCCTGGAGACCCAGGTGCGCCAGATGTTCCTCTTGCACTCAGAACCCCGACACGAAATGGGGCCACACCCACGAGACAACCTCCTCCCATTGTCTCTCCGCCGCCTGAAATCCCCGTTCCTCCTGCGCCGGTTTCTCCGATTGTACAGACTCCGCCTCCAGCCCCTCCCCCAGTGCCTGTAGCTGCTATCGAGGAAACCATACCTGAGGAGCCTCCAGCCGTCGAACCTACCCCTGAGCCTGAGGCCGCTGTGGAACAAGAAGATGAGAGTCGCCCAGGTTTGGGACCGATGATTAAAGCAAAGAAATCCAAGAACGACCTCGCTGGTGTGCTCTGGAAGGCTGCTTCCGCCGCATCAGCTTTCAAGCCTCGGCCCGGTGGTGCTGGTGAAAGACTTCGACAACTTGCCACAAAGAGCACTGAACCCGCCGAAGGAATCACAACAGTTTTTCAACCTCCGCCACGGCCGGCCTCTTCTGACGGTCCCAATGTCACATCACCTGAACCCGCAGCTGAAGAGACTGCAACACCCGTTGAGCCTCCCAAGCGCACATCTGGTGTGCCTGAGGTCAAGGTCACTGTGCCCAATTCTAGTCGACCATCGAGCCTGCAGCCTTCAATTCAGGAAGTTATTAACGTGAAGAAGCCAGAGGATGCCGCCGCCAAGGAGGAGAAAAGCAAGTCGATAGTTGCCGGTAATGACGCCAAATATCTTGCATCTCTTGGTGTTGATCCCACAGTCTTGGATAACAAGAGCGGCGAATTCACAAAGTGGCTTGACTACTTTGGATGGGTTCCTGGCGAGCAGATGAGATCTCGTAACGTGGACGAGATGAGGACAGACCTTGAGCGAGAGCTCAACAAGGCACAAGCAGGTGGCTGGCTGGCCCGATTCCAGGAAGAGGACGATCGTGTCGAGGCTATCAAACGCGGCATTGATCTGGCAGTCGCTGAGTGTGAAGAAATGGAGAATCTTCTGACGCTGTACAGCGTTGAGCTTTCGGTAGGTTTCTTGGTAAACTTTCCGACATTGTTGCTGACCGGAAACAGACTCTTTCTGATGACATTGCATACATTGAAGCTCAAGGCCAGGGTCTTCAAGTGCAGACTGCTAACCAGAAACTGCTCAAGAAGGAGCTTGAGTCTCTTCTCGAGACAACTACTATTACCTCTGCCGATCTCAACGCTTTGAGAGCGGCACCGCTTGAAGATCTCAACGGACTTGAAGATATCGAGATTTCATTGGTCACTCTCTACAAGGCCATGATCAAGATCGACCCCACACTACTAGGGGGCGAACCACGAAAGAGCGAAGATATTGGCGGAGAAGTTGATCAAGCCGTGGGTCTCGAGAATACTGACTATGGTAAGATGCGAATTGTTCAGGAGAAGAAAGAGATGTACCGGCAAGAAAGCGCCGTCTTCTCGCGACGGTTGGTCGGCTACATGGCCCAACAGTTCGATGTAGCCTACAACGAAGTCAACAGAGCGCTCCGCGAAGCTCTTTCAAGAAAGGTGGATTCTCGCCACCACGACACCGGTCGAGACATGTTGTGGAAGTACAGCCCCTTGATCAAATACGCCAAGGACGTTGACCCCGCCAACTGGGATCGCATGATCCAGGTCTATCAAGACAAGAGCCACCCGGTTTACAAGAACGAGTTCCGCCAGGTCTTGGAAGCATGGAAGCGCAATGCGCGCAAGATGACCGCCGACGAAACATCCGAGCTCCTGTTTACATTTGAAGTCGAGAAGCAGCAGGAAGGCAGAGCGACCACTGTCAGGAAGCTCACCGTCAAGCGTAGTCAGACATTGGCCAAGAGTCTGCGTTCGCCCATCGATACCAGCAGTAGGACTAACTTGAAAGAGTCGGGCGAGAACCGAAGCCTTCCTTATGAGGTGTTTGGGCAGGTGCTGGACGACCTTCTGCCGTTGGTTGAGATGGAGCAGAATTTCATCATTGACTTCTTCCATGCCACCACATTGGAGCAATCAGACTTCCCCGACCTGGTCGCAGCCAGTAGACCCTCAGATCGGAGAGGCGGCGACTTGCGTCGCCATCGTTTGATGGAGCCTGACCGCGATCTTGCTCGACGTGTCACTAAGGGTATGGAGGTGATTTTCATCTTCCTCGAGACAGAGATTGCCAAGCTCATTGAATGGGTCGTCCAAGCCGATCCTTTGTAAGTTGACTCTAACTCCGTGTTATCCCCATGGCATACTAATCAGATGCTTCAGACAAGGTGCTGGTGTTTTGGCTGTTCTCGAGCGGAATCTGGGGGACATCCAACAATCCAATCAAGACTTCCTCAACGCTCTGCTCCAGAAGCTCCACGGTGTCTTGGAGTCCCGATTTAAGAAATTCGTGGACGAGCAAATCCGCGCCATCGAGGAGACTAAGGTCAAGATTAATAAGCGCAAGGGCGTTATTTCGTTCATTCGCGTCTTCCCTCAGTTCTCCAACGCCGTGGAAAATATTCTCTCGGGTATCGATCCTAACCTAGCTGTGCGCAAGACGGTTGACCGCGAGTATGATCGCATCCTCAAGTCCATGTTCGACTCTCTCAAGATCATTGCTCGCGAGAACCCGGCAGTCAGCGTTGGTGCGGCGGGTGCGGATCCAGAGGACAAGGAGGCACTCAACTTCCACATTTTGCTCATCGAAAACATGAATCATTTCCTCGAGGAGATTAACACGCACGGCCTCAACGTCCTCGAAGACTGGCGCGAGGCTGCGACAGGCGAGATGAACGAGCACATGAACCTGTACCTGAACGCTGTAATGAGGCGCCCACTTGGCAAGCTCCTCGAGTACGTCGAGAATATTGAAGGTCAGCTGCAGTCGGGCAAGCCCGGTTCGAGCATTGCCTCGCAGCCCTCCAATTCCAAGTCCACATTCCACAAGGTCTTGGCGACGTACGACTCGCGCGAGGTCCGCAAGGGTATCGAGACGCTGCGCAAGCGCGTGGAGAAGCACTTTGGCGACGCGGACGACCCTGCTCTCAGCCAGAAGCTAGTGATCAAGGTGCTCCGCGAGTGCGAACGCTTCTACGGCGAGGTGGAGCTGCGCATCAGCCGCATTACCGCCGACGTCTATAGCGGAGACGTTCTCTTTGAGTGGCCCCGCGCCGAGGTCAAGTCCGGCTTCCGCTAGAGGCATATGCTACTTGGCCTGAGAGCCGGGACCTATTAATTTGGTGCTGGGCGCGAGACGAAGCAAGCCATATGCAGAATCAACTTTCTGCTCTTGTCGGATTGCTTCCTCCAAATCCCCCATTTTGTTTGAGTTGATTCCGGGCATGAAGTGAGGAACGGAAAGCATGGCGTGACAGAGGGAGGACGGAAAGGCTGTGTAACATGTACCCACCCGCCATGGCTTGCTCTTGATCTGGGGGTTTTCTTCTCTAGATACCTTACCTCCCAGGGGAAGTCAAGAGAAGAGCGAAATTCGAGCTTCGAGATTAGAGGAGAGAGAGCAGTACCTGAGGGGTAGGGGGTGGGGGATCATGTTGTTTCTTGTCATGTTGTTTCTATAGGCGGCAGAAGGAAAAAGGAATCTTTGGAGGCGACGTTTTTTTGAAGGCCACTTTTGATCCGAGAGAGAGGGGTTTTCGGTATCCATGGGGTGGACAACAAAGCCTTTGTATTGCGCGCAAATAGGGGGGACATTAGATTCCTGTGATGAAATGAGAGACCTTTACGCCCAGAAGAGTGTGTGCTGAACTCTATCCCGATTACTCGTGAGCATGCAATAACCGGTGAACAAGTTCGCCATCTCTCATCTGCAAGGCGGCAATAGCATCATGATCACATTTGAACACACACTCATGTTCTCACAAATCAATTTTGACCATTCTATCAACTAAGTACCCCTTGATACGTCAACCAGCAGGCTTCAACTGGGTCTGGTCATGGACCCAAGAAACAGTGCCGAGACAAGTGAAAGATACCTCGAGGCCATAGCAGGGAGGCAAGCCGAAAAGCAAGTCTGACGCCTAACGAACCTGCCATGCAAAGTCGGGTGGAGAAGGGCTTCTCTTCCATGTGCTTCCCGCGCCCTTCAATCCACCTCACTCAAAACTGGTGTTCCCTGACCCAGACCATTTCCATCCATAAAGTCTTTATTGTTGAAAGAATACCATCGCCCGGTGTGCAATGCTCGTTGATGTATTTCATACCACAATCATATAGATGTGGCGACGTTCGCTGAGATGGCCAACCCGGCCATCAGTTTCGCTGTCTGTTTTTTCTGCTTTGTTTTCCTGGAGTTCGCTAAGTCGGTGACAGACACGCCGTCTATGATAGGTGGAAAGCTCCCTGGCCTTCCTTGATGGCAGTAGAGAGCTGTTTGCGCATGGCTTCGATATTGGTGTAGTCGGGTAGTTTGAGGTAGTTGACACACGTCATGACGCTGGGGAGATAGTCGTCAGACGTGTAGGGGTGTTCACTTGGCTTGCAGACGACCGTGAACATGGGTGTCAAGCTCTTGAAACCTGTCGTTTGTGTTAGCACTGGCTACTTGAGACTAGTCGACAAGGGGGGGGGGGACGTACCTCCAATGGGGAGCTTGGGGCTGCCTGTGGCGAATTGCAAGAAATCGCGGCGCTCAGGAGCTGACAGCTCGCTCATTGTCTGTAGCAAGTTCTTGACGGTCTTGCTGTCCATATTGTAGCCGTGGTCTGCCTTGATTGAATCCATGAGTGCTAGCGAGGATGTCAGTATATCACCAGTCGAGCCCACGGAGAACTACTTACTCTCGAGAGACCAGTCCTCATCAACCCGGCCAAACAAAGTTACCAGCTCATCGGGAGTGAATGCGCTTAGAGCCGAGTAGGGGAAGACTTGAGAGAAGCCGGTACGGAAGGCATCAACCTGGCGGCGAACACCAGTGCCCAGGGTCATGTCAATAACACTTTCAAGGTACGACTCCACGTTATCAATCGTGACTCGAACTTGCCCACCATTGGGCATGAGCTCGATTTCTGGGAAGCCAGGAAGGGTGAAATCCAGACACAGGTCGTCCAACTTGACACCGTCAATAACGATATCCTCGGTATCGGCAACCTTTTGAGCCGGCGTTCGCGAAGGGTCTTCGTCGATTTCCTTCTTGGCCACAGCGAACTTCTTGATGGTCTTCAGGGACCTAGCTAAGCCAGGATCAACAACCTTGACCGCGCCAAGAGATGGCTTCACGCCAGGTGCCGATGAGCCATCTCCAATGCGGAAGAAGGTGGGATTGAAGTTCAGATCAATGATGCGAGAATCGATCATGGAACGAGCAACAAATTTGCCGAGGGTTTTGAACAGTTGCAGGATACGTTCCCCGTTAGGTGCAATAGCTTCATCGTCGCTGAGTGGCCTAGGGAAAAGGCCACTAGCTCCAGAGATGTACTCTTCCGAGTCGTTCGAGTCCATCTCTCTCCATAGCTTAAGCTTTTTCTTGGAGAACTCTCTCGATACCGTAGAGTAGAACTCAAGTGTAGGGCCCAGACCGGTTCCGACTTCCTCGAAGTATTCAACCTCTAGAATGCTCTGAGACGCGCCATATAGCTCCATGACTTTCAGGGCCGACTCCAAGATTTTGGATCTTGAAATGCGTACCTTCTGGCGCTGTAAGCGACCCAGGAATGGTCTATCGTCGCGACGGTCGCGGCGCGAGTCGTCGGCGGAGTGAGCGTTCTGCCAGCGAGTCATCGACCGGGCATACCCAAATGAGGTCGACTGCAAGAACAAATGCCTGGTCTCGAAGGGGAAGAGGAAAGGGTACAGTCGCGCAAGGTCTTCTACCCAACTTGGCAGGCAATTGCTCGCGACGATCAAAGGCTCTTCGAGCTGCCTATTGAGCTTCGCAGTCAACTTGGTATTGACGAACTGTGATAGGGGCTCAACATTCAGTCGAACGGCATCCTTTTCGCTGTTTTCAACCATGACGTCTTCAATGTTGGCATTCAAGTCGTGAAGAATATTGAGAAGGCGAAGAATAGAGGCTGTCGAAGGATGCTTAGCGAGAGATGCCGGCACGTTTCCTTCGCCGTTCTCCTCCGTATTGGCTTGGGCATTGGAACTGAACGAAAGGGTTTCAGCGGGTGGCGGACCGGGGGCCCGTCGGAACTTAATCGGGTGCACTGCAGACCAGACACTTCGGCTAAAGTGCTCATCAGAGTTGGCGGCTGAGGTGTGGACGGCACGGTAGATGGTAGTCTCGCTCGTAATCACCTTGTTGTCGAGAGTGAACTGGATATGCCAGTCTTGCGGCACAGCTTGGATAGCTGCAGCGTATGACATCGGCCTCGATGAAGTTGCCGGCGTGGGGGTGCTTTGTGCCACAGGAGGGGGCGGAAGAGCACTGGAACGAGTAGGCAGAGAACTCTGGGATGGCGTGGGCACTCTGGTCCCATCATCCTTCCGTGCAGTGACCTTGCCACCAGCTGCGATTTCCATATTGACAGCACCAGGCTCGGGACCGGGAGACTCGCTCATATCCTCATCCAAGTCACCAACAATAGCATCCAATGCACTGCTACCGCCAATCTCTTCGTCGTCAGACAGATGCTTTTCATCTGCGCACTCAAGTGCATTCTCCAAGTCGTCATCTTCCGGAGGTGGCCTAGACGGCACTGGGCTGTCTGCAGCCGACGCCGCACTACGACGGGTAGATCTCCTCAGAACACCCTTATCCCTGGTGCTGGAAGAGGTGTCAGGAGTAGCCGCACTCTCCGGCTGCGGTGTTGACTTCGACTTCGTCTTGCGAAGAGAACGCGAACCGCTGGGCGTGGGCACACTGGGCGGTGGCGGGATCGGACTTGACCCAGACGCTGCTGCATGGCGCTCCGCATGGCGCTCGGCAAGTCTAGCTGCCGCATGGCTAAGTGGCAAACCAGCAGAGCCTGCCAACGAGGCAAGGGCCCTCGACAGGTTGTCGGCCCGCCTTGAGGAGCCACGTGGCCGTTCCGAAAGACTGATTCTGGGCCTCAGGTAGTCATCGAGAGACTTGAAAGTAGCAATGGCGTGGATCGAAACCATGATGTTCCGATACGACTTGGGTATAGACTCATCGTCAGCTACAAGTCTGAGCCGAATTTGCTTCGCGAGCATAGACGCCGCACTACTGCGATTGCCATCGAAGGTATTTTGGTGGACAGTAATGACCTCGAAATGCTCAGATCTACTAAGCAAATCCTGAAGTTTGTGAACCATGACACTGAAAGGAGTCGCAGGTGAATCTGCAGTGGCAGTCTTGGGCTTGGATTTGACGCTGTAGCCCATGAAGACCTGCAAGAAGTCCGCCTGTGCCGTGCGGGCTAGATCCTCGTCGGGATTGCTGAAAACCTCCAAAAGCACTCTAACGAGCCCAGAAGCCAGAAGCTCTGCGCTAGTGACACTTTCGAGAACGTCCGCGTCGAAAGACGAGGCCAGCTTCTTGAAGAGCTCTACACCGTTCTCAGGTGCAAGGTTGCCTGCCGATCTGTTGAGGTAAAAAGCTTCAATCTCTTCGGCAAGATCTGATAGATTAGTAAGAATCTTGGTCGCCTTTTTCTTCATGGCCTTGCCGTGCTTCTCGGTTTCGTGGCTCTCCAAGAACTTCTTAGCCACCTCACGAATCCTACTTCGCATCGACGGGACATCTGACAGGAAATGCTGAGGCGGCCCGTCAAGCGACATGGTTGAGCCGCCAGAGCTAACCGGCGACCCAGAAATGTCGTCTGGGTGAGGCTCATTCTCATTGTCCTCCTCATTCTCCTCGTCATCCGACTCTTCGTGCTCTTCATCGTCTTCTGACTCTTCGTTGTCGGAAGATTGATCACCAGAATCTGCCGCAGCCTGCAATTCTGCATTGTTGGACTCCTGAGAGCCGACCGGCTCTGGCGCTGGGGGTGGAGTGTGCTCCTCGATGGCTAATTTGGTAATTTCCGAGATGACACCTTCACGGTAAAGCTGATATCGGTAAACATCCTCCAAGCGACTGAGAAGGAGTTCTGTAGCTTGGAGTGCCAGCATGACCAGTGAGGGATGGTCCTGTTGAGATAAAATCGAAGCCAGGAAAGAAGCATAAGACACTGTCTTTAGGGCTTCGCCAAGAATTTCCTCGTCGAGGTTCGAAAGCATCTTCAGCTGGGCTGTTAGTACCTTTTGACGAACGTTGAGATTAACTGTGCTCGAAAAAGCGTCGGTCAAGGTCGGAAAAAGAATGAGGGCAAAGCGGCGAACTTCGGATTTGCAGGTGTCGAGCAGCTCGATTCTCTTGTCGTTTGGTGACTTGCGCGTCTTTCCAGCTGCTGTGGATGAAGGAGTGATGGGTTCTGTTGCGTTCATCTCCACGAAATCGCCATATGAAGGGTCGGCATTACGAGGCAGGCTAGGGAGCAGCTCGCAAATGACGTTGAGAGTCTCGATAATCTGCTCCTTTGGGCGATGGATCAAGGCCTGCATGATGACGACACTGTCCAATTTGGAGGCAACGTCTTCTGTGCCGCTAGGCGGAGAAACGCCGGTGAGGATTTGGTAAAGTGTCTCTACGATGTTGAGCTTAAATAAGTCCGCCGAAAGCTGGGGGCTAGCACGAGCCGTAAAGGCCAACACCCGCAGGAATTGCGTGTGGATATCAGCCCCGATGAGGTTGGTGGTGCCTGGCACAAGCAGTCTCAGGACAGCCTTCAACAGATCGACACTGACGAGCTCCTCCAGCTTTGCAGACTGGTATTTGAAGCTCTCCACAATGCCAGAGACGCAGATGGAAGCCTTTTCAACCACTCGCTGGTCGCTGCTGCCCAAGACGTTGAGAAGCGTGGGCATGACATCTCGAATTACCGGGAAAGAATCCTCTGGGATGTTTCGGCAGCAATTTGCAGCCGTAGTCACCGCTGTTCTTTGTGTGCTTGTTGCGAAGAAATCCAGGTAAGACAAGCAGGCGGTCAACCCACCCTCTCGGACAATGCTGGAGGGGTACTCTGCTGAAATCTTTTCGAGGGTGCTCAGGGCTTGCTCGGCAAGATCGATAAAGGAGATCTCGAGCAACTTTTGGCAGAGCACGGGGACAGCGCCTCCGTAAACGACGTTGGCCACACTGGCGGGCAATGCCTCCATCAAGTTTGCCAGGCAACGGCAGGCGAGCAGCATGATTTCAGGGTTCTCTTCGCCCGTCATCTCGTTTGGTTGCATCAAAGTCACCAATTCCTTGACGAAGGCATCAGGTGAAAAGTGACCTGACAAGTTGTCCTCGTTGGACACCAACAAGATTTCAGATAGCTCTTGCAGGGCGATCAGCTGCACTGATGGGTCATCTTTTTGACGCAGGCTGTTCAGAAGGTCTCGCAGGCGAGATGAAATGCCCGTCATCATGCCTGTCAAGGCCCGCAAGGTACTTGACAAGCCACCGGGACCCCCTGGACCTCCGAATCCGCCAAAGGGATCATCGTCTACATCGTCATCGTATCGCTGACCCTCGTCATCGTCATCGTTATCGTCACTATCATCGTCGTCGTGATGTTCGGGTGGAGGTGGTGGGGGCGGGAGAGGAAGAGACTCCTTTTCGGTGTCATCTGTGCCCGTCATCGCGGTGTCGGCGTCCGCATTATTTGCGGCATTCCGTTTTGTCTTACGAGAAGAACTGGATGTGTTGGCAGAAGGATCTGTGTATGCCGAATCAGTACCATGATCCATAGGTATTAGAGTATAGGCAACTCGTGGTTACCTGTGGTGCCGGGGGCAGTCCTCTTGCTTCGGCTGCTGCTGGATTTGCGGCTTGAAGACGCCGAGGGTGCAGTATTCTCAGATGCGTTCGCAGGATCGGCGGAAATGCTAGCAAGAACAGTCAGCTTTGAAGGTTCTCAAGCTCCAAGTTCAGGTAGTGGGATTGCTTACTCTGGGCTCGACATGGCGGCGGTAGATTTGCCCTTTTTCTTGGAGCGAGGCGGGGCAGGTGGTTGTGTAGGGAGCTGAGGCGGTGGAACAGCGTCGACTACCTTTTGACGCTTTGATCGCCTGGAGGAAGCTGATGCAGACGGCTGTGCTCCAGGAGTAGGGCTGGTAGCTTGTGTTGAAGCCTTTCGTTTCCGCGAGGCTGAGGTGGGAGGGTTCGGAGGGCTGGAGCTCTGTGGTGCAGGGGCGGTGGCTGCGGGATCGGCGCTTGCAGCGGATTGTGTCGATGAAGCCGCGAGACTCGCCGCTTGCCGGGCAGAAGATCTAGTAATTCTGGGAGACATGAGTGACTGGCTTTTTTGAGGCATGCCGACCGAAGAACGGCAGGCGAAAAAAAGAAGGTAAAGATCAAGTCAGATCCGCCGAAGCCAGGATGCCGGTGGCCTCGTGTGTCCGCAACGAAGGTCAGATGTGTGTGTGGTGTGTGTGTGGGTGCAGTGGATGTGGATGTGCAGAGTACTAGACAGAACGAGAGAGGTAAAGTAAAGCATGCAATGAATTGCTGGGGTGGTAGAGGGAGGGGTCTGCTAGCACTGGCCCGAAGCTGACCAAGCGAGAGTGACGAGAGTAAGGAAGTCAAGGAGAGAAGAGGAGTCGAGTCGAGTTGAAGAAGTATCGCGGAGGAGACGATCAAGACTTGATGAAGAGCGTGTGAAGGAGCGTTGCGATGCAGCCGTGTTTCAATGGTTGGAAAGCAGGCGCTTCTCTGTGTCTTTTTTTTTTTCTCGAGGTGCTCTAGAGGCACGGTGCGGTGGTGCCTGGCAGGATGTACGGTGCGGTGCGGTGCGGTGCGGTGTAGGTAGGTAGTGAGGTAAGACGGTAGGTATAGTGACCCGACCCGCTTAAGTTCGAGATCCCGCCGTTCGGGTACCGAAGGCAAGGTAGCTTCAGGAGGAGGAAGAGGAGGGGGACGCAGGTAGGCTGGATCCCGAAGCCGAAAAGATGCCTTTTTTTTGTGCATTTTTTGGAGTTTGAGGATCAAGAGAAAAAGACTCGGAAGGTGAAGGTGAAGGTGAAGGTGAAGGAAGCAGCAAGGTAGAGGCAGACCAAACCAGGTGAAGGCAGACAGGCACGAGACGAGTTGGCTGTCGCCGGCAACTACCCCACGGCACCTGAACGTTGTTCCTGCTGCTCCTGCCTCTGCCTCCCGTCTGCTCCTTCTCCTACTCGGAACGAATGTTTCTGCGCGCCTGGCTCCCGAGGATGTTTCTTGCTCCTGTCTCTCCTCTTTTGAATTCTCTGCTCTTCTTCTTTTTGTTCCTCTTCACTCTCGAGTCTCTCTCTGTCTCGCTCTCATATGCACACGAACCACACACACGCTCTCTCTCTCTCTCTTTCGACTCTCTCCTTTGTCTCGGCGAAGCACAAAACAGTGTACGAGGAATCGAAACGAAACAGGACAAATACGGGGGAAATGGCAACCACCTACCGCTGGGAAGATGAGGTCGAAGCTAAGGTGGGCGAACCCGAACCGGAAGACGATGTCGTCGGCGTGGACGGGAGGCGCGCGGGGGGATCGTGGTCGACTACCGATCTGGAGCGCTGATTTGCAGAGGCGATTCGTTCTGCCATGGATTACGCCATGAGGCAGGACAGCTCGAGGGTTGCTGGCAATTAGGCGTCTTGGTGTGTTGATGTTATCAGTGCCGTCGGGGAATGGCCAACAAATACGATGATGTTGGGAGGTTGGTCCGAATCAACGGATCAAACAAGTGGATTTCGTTGCCTTGAGAGTCATCGATATAGATGGCGTGATCTATCCTTCGAAACGGTTTATCGTCTGTATCGTTATCGTCGTCGTTGTCGTCGGAGGAGAATAGATTCGATGGCGATGTTGGAAGTATGGGGAGATGTTAGGGATGCTCTTTAGGATCAGAAGAGGTTATGCAGCGCCAAAGCAGCACGGGAGAGGAAGAAGGTGTCGGGTCTGACTGATGGATGCCCTGGGCCGTGGCCGGCGAACGGGACAGACACACCACCCGTTGCTGCTAACAGTTATTAACAAGCACCACGCCGCACGCCACATGCTACACCACACACCACCACGCACCACACACCACGCACCACGCACCATACGCGCAAGGACAAGGCCATACTCACACGGCCAACATGCTCCAAGCGGCTCTGATATCGCTGAGGTGGTCCAGTCCACTTTTTGCTCCAACGTAGCCACTGGGGACACTGGGCCCGCCAACTCAACTTGAGCGGCCACGAGGGGGGAATCCCTGCGGTAAGGCCCATGCTATGATGCTGCGGATACAGAGGTACTGCCATACACATGCTTACGGAGTACCTGACCTTAGCACCCTAAATACTGAGCAATACGGGCAGGACTATGTCATGGAACGGTCCCCCTCCTGTCACGCCTACCGTCTGGCTCCGTCCCAACAACCTCGAACCGTGCCAACGCCAATCATGGACGTGCCGTCGTCCGTCACCCGTCACAAGCCTCCCTGTTCCATCCGGCCAGGCCAAGCCTGCTATTGTGTTCGAACATTCAACCCGTACAGCCACGACAGCGTCATTGTATTAGTGTCTGACCGTGCTGGAACGTTTGGCAGCTCAACCCCGCTCTACCACCACTGTCAGTCCCCAGTCTCTCAGATGCTGACCTTGCACTAAGGTAGCTACAGCCAAAACAGCTTCGCATCAAAGCCGCTCGTCATTACGGAACCGCGTCTCCGTTTACGCATCCACACTTGAAGTGTGCTCCAGATTCTGACGGAGCGGATTCAATCAAGGCTGGTGGGCACGCGGCATTCCTACCTCTTCTTGCGCCATCAGGGTTGACCAATACTCCATTTCTAAGCGGCCGAGTGCAGCAAGTCATCAAAAACACCTCAAGAAATATCGATAATGAGTAATATAGACTTTGCTCACGTCCGCGGCGCCGGAGATTCCACATTAATCATTTCTTCTCTAGCCTAGTAGGTATCATGCAGGGCTCACTCGTCTATGCCTTTAAGCTGTCCTTGCCTCCCTCGAATTCACCAAACTCGTACTCATCCGGGTACTTGTCTAGATGCTCGCGCAGCTGTGCCATCTGCTGCTTCAGATCTGGCGTCAACTCCTCATAAACGTCTTCAAACATGCCTCGAATCGGCGGCTTCTTCTCCATCTCGGCCTCCTTGAATGCCTTCAGCACCTCCCGCCTAGTCGAGTCTCTGCACTCCTTTTCCTTGGCCTCGTCCCACATGCCTTTAGCCTCCATGTACTTCCGCAGACGTGTGATAGGGTTGTCCCGCCTCTTCCAGTCCTCAACCTCGACTCTAGCACGGTAGGCAAACGAGTCATCCGACGTGCTATGGTGGCTCACCCTGTAAGTCATTGCTTCGATCAAGACGGGGCGGCCTCCGTTCTCGAGCGCCATTTCACGGGCCCGCTTTGTAGCCTCTCTGACGGCCCAGATGTCGTTTCCGTCTACTCTGATAGTGTCGATGCCGTACCCTAGGCCGCGGCTGGCGATTCCATCACCTCTGTATTGTTCTAGCGTTGGCGTAGAAATGGCATAGCCGTTGTTTCGACAGATGAAGATTACAGGACATGATCTCGTAGCTGCGATGTTGAGGGCGGCGTGGAAGTCTCCTTCACTAGCCGCACCCTCGCCAAAGTAGGCCGCAACGACTCTTGGGGGTATCGACTGATCTTGCATCCGCTGCATCTTCAAAGCGTAAGCCGCTCCCGAAGCTTGCGGAAGCTGCGTTGCCAATGGTGACGAGATGGTATGCTGTACGGGTAACGTATTAGCATGGTCAACTCTCCAACCCCCTACGCAGAGGTAGCCGTCTCGGCCATGGGGTACTCACGATATTCAGCTCCTTGCTACCATAATGCACCGGCATGTTCCTCCCTCTACCGGGATCTTTCGAATTGGCAAAAAGCTGGTTCATAAAATCCGCCGTCGTGAAGCCCCGCTGCTTAAAAACGCCCTGCTCGCGGTACTGGCAGAAAATCACATCCTCGGGCGTCAGCACGCTCGCGGAGCCGACGCTCAGCGCCTCCTCGCCCGCCGAGACCATGTAGAAGCTCAGCCTGCCCTGGCGCTGGGCGTCGAACATGATGAGGTCCATGACGGAGATGAAGACCATGTCCTTGTAGAGCTTGACGATCTGCGCCTCGTCAAGGTCCGGGACGAAGGCGTCGTCGACGATGGCGCCGTTTTGGTCTACCACGCGGTAGGTCGGCACGGCGGGGTAGTCGCCTGGCGTCTCGAATTTGAGGCTGCTTGTAAAGGCGCTCTTTACGGCGCCGGGGAAGGAGACGTGGTTTGCGTTTGGTCTTTGGGAGAGGCTGCTTGCTGCTCGGCGGGTTTGAGGTGCTGTTGCTGTTATTGCTGCTGCTGCTGCTGTTGGTATTGATGTCGTCTTCAAGGGACCGCTTCCGGCTCGGGGGAGGGCGAGCCCGCCGAGGGGTGCCCGTCGAAGGATCTTGGAGGTCCTCATTCTCTCTCTCTTCTTTTAAAACTGTGTCCTCTCCTTTCAGAAACTCAATTGGTGAAAAGAAGAGAATCAACGAGTCTTTCCTCGATTACACTGAAGTCAGGGACGGAAAGGAAAAGAAGTCTCGAAGGAGCGCTCAGAGGGAGAATGCCGAGACAGCAGCTATCCCGAGGAAGACCGTCTATCGTCGGCCGAAGTTGCGACGTCATGGCTGAGCCGACGTAAGCCGGCTACCGATAAGGCAGGTTAGCAGTGTGGCAGCGCATGGCAGCTTGACCCAAGGCCCCCGAAAGCCGTCACCTTTCCCCGCGCCCCGCGTGGAATCCATTCTCCCTATCGATAAGGAAGGGGAAACCGAACCTTGGGCAGGGGTGCTTGTGACCGAGCAGGAGTCCATCGACAAGGTTATGGTTTGCTCTGTGCTGGCGTCGAGGGACTGTTTTGGCCCCCGCAATCGAATCAGGATGCTGGACGTTTGGTTTTTGAAGGACGGTTTGTTACTGCATGAATGTTGGGACGCGTTGGTCTTCCATTGGGTAATCAACGGTGATATCTGTTTTGTTTTTTTGGTAAATTACGGTGCCTGGGTTCACCGTGCCTGGCAATCCGGACAAGGTATCAAACTAGACAGGTCCATATCAGTCCTAGACGACGCCTTGCCAGTGCTAACCGATGCTTGGCGAGGGATGTCGACGATCGATATACAGCACAGCTCCTCGGTTCAATCGAGAAATTTGTTTACACGGCGTTATTTGAAACTACCAAGTCGGGGTTGTCTAATACGGCAACATTGTCCAAGAGCCCTGGTTAAGCAATTCTTATGCTTGAAATGTGGGTTCCCGGTTGAAAGAGCCAACGCCAAGTCTCTAAGCCGATTCTAACCTCATTGATTTCAAAAACCGTCATGTAGGACAGTTTGAGTCCATTTACAAGAACTTGTTCAAAGGATCAGCCTAAGTAATACCATAAACTAGTTATCTTTCTTCCGGAGCATCGACTTCCAGTTCAATCTACTGCACAATAAGGGTCCAGCTGTCAAGCGGTAGTTGCATGGAGATCTCACCAAAAAGTATCGAACACGGATTTGGCCCTCAAAGGCAACAACTACATCTCTCTTCATGTGGTATAATAACTAGTAAGTATACCGGAAATCCTTATTCTCCCCATCCGTCCTATCCTCCCTCTCCTGCTCAAGCCCAGCCTGCAACCTATCCTCGGGCACCCCAAACTTGGAATTGCGACGCTTGTTCTCCGCCACGCAGAGCAGATAGTACACGAGCCCCGACGCAGCCATGAGCGCAAAAGCAAACATCATGGCGCTGATGCCGAGCGGGTACCGCGGCGCCTGGCTTGACAAGAACAGCTGGGGACCGACGATATTGCCAATGGCGTAGCACACGGCCACCGTGACGCCCATGAAGCTCTTCTTCGTCGCGCCCGCCGTGTTGGACGAGTTGAGACTCAGCATGAAGACCCAGGGAACGTTGTAGAAGCCCATGATGTACACGCACGCCAGGCTGGCGTTGCGGCTCTGGTTGATGTCGAGGGTGTGCACCATCACCGCGCCGATTAGCCCCACGATGGCGGACAAGATCCAGAACAGGCAGCGGAGGTTCTGCACAAACATGGAGATGGTCGTGAGGACTACGCCGGCGACCATGGCGACCGCGGCCTGCGGCGTGGCCATGAGGACGGTCTTCGTCTGGCTGAAGCCGTACCCCGAGATGATGAGCGGGTTGAAGTTGGTGATCCCCGCGTTGGCGACGGCGTAGCCGATGGCGCAGGCCCAGACGCACCAGCATTTGGGATCCTTGATGGCCTCGAGGATCTGTCGTCCGTCGAATTTCTTCTTGACGTCGACGCCGGTTTGGTTCTCGGCGAGACGGGCGACAACTTGTTTCTTTTCCCGTTCGTCAAAGAACCACGCCTTTTGCGGGGAATCAGGCAGCGCAAAGAGGACCACGAACCCGACGAGGATCGTGACGGCGCCGTAGATGATAAAGATGTACTTCCACGTCGACAGGCTTCCCTTGATATTCCCAATCGCATACGAGAGGATCCCTCCAAACACGCCGGCAAAGGTATTATGCCACAGTGCCGTACGCAAGGGTTGCTCTTCGCGGCGGTACCAGGTCGCGTTGAGGACGAGCATGCAGGGCAACAGGGCAGCCTCGAAGATGCCGAGGAAGACGCGGATGGCGGCGAGGCCGGCAAAGTTGTGGCAGGCGGACATGAGGCAGATGCAGGCGCCCCAGAGGACAAGGCAGGCGCCGATGAATTTGCCAATGGGGAGCTTGGTGATGAGGTAGAGGGCGGGGATTTCCATGGCCAGGTAGCCGAAGTAGAAGACGGAGCCGAGCCAAGAGTATTCTTGCCCTTTGAGATTTGCGTCTTGGCGGAGGCCGAAGATTGCGGCGAAGCCTAGGGCGTTCTAGATCTCGGGTGAGGCCATGGTTAGCTTTGTGTATACGAATGCTGATGTGATAGGAGAGGGGTTTTGGGACTTGCCTTGTCGAGGAACGCGAGGGTCATGCTAATTACTGCGCAGGGGAGGACGACGAGGTCCGTCTTCAAGAGGATGCGCCTGTTTTGCGCGGGTGTCGGCGCCAGAGTCTCGTCGTACTGCGAGGTTCCATCTTGAACGTCTTTCACATCCGTCTGTTCGGTTGCGTCGTGGTCGACCATGGCTGATTTGGGTTCCATCATGGAAGATGGAAGCGCGTTGGAAACACTTTGTTTGGTAGGTATATGTACGGAACCGTGTAAGTCGGAGCTTATATGCTGTTTGTACAAACTCTCAATTAACGAAGCAACACAGTCAGACTCATTCAAGAGCCAACTCTCTTCTCACAGGACAGAAAAAAAGATTGAGAGTCCAAGTTTCGAAGTCAAGGCCCAAGGATCAAACATGCTCCCCCCGAGTCGGCGGCGGAACCGCAGGTATTTCAATTGCTCAACTCCACATCCCATGTCCCGGCCCTTTTTGATTACAACGAGACCTCTACCGGATAACACACCATGTCGTTGTCGATATGGAGACCGCAGAAACAGAATTGCGATTGACGTTATCATTCTGGGGTATCACGCAATGAGAAGGTGGAGCTTTTGCTCGGTCCCCACCGAGATGATTGACGTCGAGATATCGGTGCAGTCCGAGGTGTTGTGCTGACTCGTGCTCCACCGGTCCTCGCACTGTTATCAAGATCATCGCCCAGGGATACCATAGTAGGTGCCGTGTTAGCTAATGTGGTGGTCTTCGCGTCGAAAGGTGACGAGTGAAGGCCAGTGGTCAAGAGACTTCTCTAATCTTTCGCACGGTATCAGGTCGCAAGATTCGAAGCAAGGTGGTGGGAATCATGGGGGTTGCAATTAGTGCTGGCCAACGCAGATGATGGTTCATCTTCAAGCTGTGATGTTGATTTCACTCACCTTTTGTTAAAGGAAGCTTAGCTAGTCTTCAAACAACTGGATATTTAATCAGGGTTTGTTGCAAAATTACACCATATTTCATTAACATCTAGTCGCTCTGTAATACAGGGTGTTTGAAAAATAAATTGGTATTGAGAGAATTCTCAAAGAGCTTCTCGAAAGACTCCGCGAAAACTCAAAGCTTCGACTTCAAGCTATCAAGGACACTCAGATCCCGAGCCTGCTCGAGTTCAGCTAGAATCTGCTCCCTCGACCTCGCAACATCCCGCTCAACCTCAGCCACATAAAGCTTCTGAATCACCTCCGTCAAAGCCCCCCTCTTCCCGTCACCAATCACCCGCCCATCAACCTCAGTAACATGTATCTGCGACGGGAACGTCCCCGTACAGAAAGCCTCATCGGCCCCATACACCTCCGTCAGCGCAAAATCGAGCTCCCGCACCGTGATCCCCGCCGCACGGCAGACGTCAATAGTCTTTTGCCGCGTAATGCCCATCATCTGGTTATCCTTTGTCGGTGCCCACACCTCGTCGCCACGGACGATGAAGAAGTTGACCGAGTTGCACGTCTTGACGAAGCCGTTGAGGTCCAGCATGAGCGCCTCGTCGACGCCCATGAAATTGGCGTGCACGCACGCCTGCACGTCCGTCGCCTTGGAGATGTGGTTCCACTGCTCGTCCTTGACGTCGGGCGGGCCGCGCCGAACCCAGGTCGTGCCTAGGCGCAGGCCGCGCGACTTGGCTGTCGGGTCGACGGCCTTGATCTCGGGGATGATGACAATGAGGGGCAGGCCGATGTTGACGTGCGGGTTCTGGTAGGGCGTTGACTTTAGACCTCTGCTGACGACGAGACGCATGTGGACGTGAGGCTCGTTTCCCATGTCGTTGGCGTCTAGGGTTTGGTGGAGGAGTGAAAGGAGGTCTCCCTTTGTCAGGCCCAAGTCCATATACATGGCCTTTGCAGATTGGAAGAGACGATTTATGTGCTCCTTGGCGAATTGAACTCGGCATCTTACAGCACGAATGCCTTCCTATAACGAGAAGCCATTAAATCAGCCTTTGGACCTTTCGTCAGTCCAAATGTTCACTTACCCAGATTCCATCGCCTATGAGGAAGTTGGAGTCAAAGACTGAGACCGTTGCTTGCTCTCTGGGGACTAGACGGAATTCGCCAGTAACGCCGTCGCGTATGCCAACCTTGTATCGAGAGTCAGTATTCTGTTTTGAAGAAGTATTAAAGACCAAGATGTATCTTACCAAGATAGAAGCATTTTTGGAGTTCAGGACGGCCGTGTGGCTTGTAGCCGGCTGAGGCTTTGGCTGAGATTCGGACATGATGCTGGCGATGCTCTGTGGGATGTGATGCCGTATAAGTCGTAAAACATCTATTTGGAAGCCAAATCTCGAATAAATACCACACTTCTACAGGGCCAAAGACCCCGGTTTTTTAAATGCAGGTATGTAAGCCAAAAACGCTCATATGGTGCTTCAACGCTTTTCCTGACAAGTAGGTAGTCTTGGTCGGCACTGAGCTCGGCCAGGGCCGAAACTCTGATGACATTGCGCAAGCCACTCTCCACTTATCATCGGTCCAGTCCGAGATCACCTCGGTCTTGGTGCATTAGCTGCAGCCAATGCGATAGGAAGGAGGGATCAAATCAATAATTACCACCCGATGTTGATATCTAGTTTGACATCCGAAGCTCAACTAATTTACCGAGGCTGTGCCATGGCATCAAGTTAGCAGTTGTCGATAGCCCATGGTCACTCAACTTACACGAACGCCAGTTGCAGGGAGGCTTGGTATTGCCAGGAATCATTGCGACATTGCACTGTTCACCCCAAGTTCCCTAGGTTGGTTGGACTGTAAATCCTCCATAAAAGTGTCAAACCAGGCGGTAAGGCCTTCGTCCAAGCCAAATTGAGCGTTGTCGAAATACCCCGTTACCTGGTTCATATATGTTTCTAGACCATCGCCTTGGAAGAACATGTTGGACTGCATGCTATCTGTATCAAGAAGGCCAAGTGTGTTTGATGTGTCCGCAGGAGCTACTGGCGAAGCATCTGTGACTAGCGAAGGTGCGCCTGGGGGCTTCCATGTTATCGGTCCATATACCTTGATCCTCGCTGCCTGGAGAAGATCGCGGTACTTGAGCATGCCTTCCTCATTCATCCGGGCAGTCCCGCGTTCGATGAGGTCCATGCATGATGCCACATTGCTCCCATGGGAATAGAGGAGAGGGGATTCTGGGCTTTGCTTCATCGCTTTGACGTGCCTAGTAGCTCATGGTCAGTTCGGAATCTTGAAAGGAGTGCCAATTAGGAATGTGGTGAGATAAGGAGCCTACCAGTCGCAATACAGGCCTGCCAGCCCTACCATGAGGATCGAATGCACTTGCCGTATGCATCGGCAAACGGCAGTGATACCATGTTGAAACTCCAACTTCTGCCACTGCCGAACAGTTCCAGAAACGGCCCGAGAACATATCTCGGCCATCTCTGTTGAGGGAATCATGAAAGTGGGAGATGGCCGATACATGAGTAAGAGGAGAAGTCCATATTCGATCTTCATCTCGGAGTACTCGCGCGTTCCCTTGAAGTTCAGGGCTTCCATGTCTCGTTTCCAACTCTCTAGTTCTTGCTGGATTCCTTCGACTTCGTGGCAGATTTCCTGGAAAGTGGTTCTTGATGCTCGTCCATCAGGACCCCTGGCGATGTAGACGGATTCAAGGACGCGCCCGCCGATCTGACGTAGCCTCATCAGATGATTGAAAAGCTTCACATTGAGTTTCTGGAATGATGGCGCCGCCCGGGCCTCGGACTCTGTGAGCTCGTCTAGAGTACTGATAGATGGCTTTGGTGCGTCTATTGCATGCTCTCTGACCGAGAGTACTCGGCCGGTGATGACAGCTACCTGTCTTTCCAGTGCGTATACACACCACCAAGTACGGTTTCGTATCTCTCGGTCATCGGAACTCAGGTCGCCCCAGGTGACGGAACGTCGGTGAAGGCCCATCTCTATAGCTGTTGACATGGCATATCGACTCATCTGCCAAAGGTCGTCACCGTGATTTCTAATATTTGATCCTAGCATCCATAAGCACAGCAAAAGCACGGAATGAAGGCCTTGTAGATCTCTCGGATGGTCGTGTATGTTCAGAAAGAATTGTAGACCTGTCTGGAAGTAGTCTGTGGGGCTGTTCAAGTCCATCATCCGTCGGTATTCCTGAGCTTCCGTGCAAGATGCTGAAGCGAGGGCTAGCACCATGAGGACTAAAAACTTTTGATACAGTGTACACCTTGCTGGATCTTCGTAGATTCTTAAAAGGCTAGCTCTCAAGAATGGAAGAGAAACAAACGGCCACCATGGATGTATGCGACTGATGTATGTAGTCAGGAGAAGTCTAGCGACAGGCTGCGGTGGGAGCGCAGCGTTGTTCCGGACGAGTTCGTGGTCATTACCGGAGAGTTCTGCGCGACCAGGACGCGATACTGATGGTGATGCAGACAAGTGAATCTGCTTGAAGAAAATGCGAGCAAAGGTCGAGCCAGTGGCACTTCCCACTAAAGAATTGACAACTATTACCACCCGACCTCCTAGAATGGATCAAGCATCAGCTCGTGGCCAGAGAGAGCTGTACTTACTGTATATCCTTTCTGAGTAGCCGCTTGGTCTTCCAATTGCAAGAACACCAATCTCCTCAGCTTCTTTGCGGACATCGTCGAATTGGCCAGGTCCAGCTACCAGGTCAGTCTGGCCTGCTGTGACCTCAGGAACGGCATCGAGTCTAGCTTGAAGCTCAATGATTCGGTCTTGCAGGCTTTTGACGGCAGCGTACGTGTAAGTTACACGATCGGTGATATTGCACTCCTCATTTTGTTTCTGGCAAGTTGAGCATCGTGGAACACGTAAATCACACTTGGACATGTCAGAATTCATATTTTCCCCTTGCTCGAAGGGTGACGATCTACCTTGACTTTTCGTGCATGGCAACGACTGCAAGCTTTGGAGACCGTCGGTGGGAATTGCGATTTCCATGTCGGGTCCATCATCCAGGGAGTATGGAACTGTGCGTGTTGCTGCTGGCTCTGTAAGGTAGCTAAGAAGAGTGTGTGATTCTTTGTGTCTCGGGGGTGTCCGAGTCTTGACTTCGGAAGACAGTAGAGAAACAGTGCCTAAGACTGTGTCGCATGGCTGTGGGTGGAAGTCGGGGGGTTCTTATCGATAGACCGCCCCACTTGCCTTTATTGGTGATTCCCCAGGATGTGGTCCGGTGCCCGGCCGGTGAATCTCGGTGTAGGGCTCCTGCTTGCCCTGTGTAAGTCCAACCTGACTTGGATGCCTTCACAGGCAATTCAGAGAATCACGCCGGGAAAAAAAAAAGGGTGAATACTTTTGTTTATTCTCACGCTTCCAATACAATCACTTCGGAAGGAGCTTATTTCTTTTTTTCTTCACACGCACACTCCCATCACTTAACACTCGTCACACTCTACAACAACAGCATCCACCGAGAACTTCAATATCCGACTTCATCGCTATCGATCAGCTACTTTCTTTTCTGACCAGATCAGCTCAACTTCAGATATAATATCCATCACAATATTGAGAAAAGAGTCTCAATATGAATCCTGCTGGCTCCATTGCTTTGTTGGTCATCCTGGTCATCTGTCTCATCTGCACTATCATCTGGCTTGCCAAGGACCAGGTTCGAGCCTTCACCAAGGTTTTGGCTCAACACCGAGCGACACGAAAGGAGGCTTCTACCACTGCCAGCACGGAAGCTGTCACCAATGGGACCATTGTCTAGGTAAGGCTTTTCTTTATTTTCCCTGGCAAAGAATCCTACTCGCATCTGGGATGTCAGTGCCCATGGATCCTGGTCTTGAAGATGTGGCTTGACTGCCCAATGTCATCGACGTAGCGCGCACCAGCCACATTCAATCCCCAAATTCTCCACCAAAAATTAATTCCATCCCGGAAGCTCTCCAAGCATCGCTCGTCTGACTTCATTGCGCGCCGTCCCCTAGGTCTTTCCACGCTCCCTCGACAATAACGAGCCATTTTCTAGCAATGGCGACCCGACGCGCCCTCCGCTCCCCTTGGAGCGCGCGATCTTTTTCGAACCAGCTCGGCACATCCCCTTCCTCTATCTCTCGCCCCTTCGCAATCGCCTCCCGATCCATCAACACCTCAACCGATCCTTCCGCCGACAGCAAGACAACGCACTTTGGCTTCAAGACTGTCCCCGAGTCTGAGAAGGCCGATCGTGTCGCCGGCGTCTTCCACAGCGTCGCCGACTCCTACGATCGCATGAACGATCTCATGTCCTTTGGCTGGCACAGAATATGGAAGTAAGTCTCAATTCCTCTCAGCAGCAGTCATGCCATCATCACTAACACACTTCTGCCAGGGACCACTTCGTCTCCGGCCTCCAGCCAGGCCTCTCAGCCTCCAATCCCCCTACGCCGCAACACATCCTTGACATCGCCGGTGGCACAGGCGACATTGCCTTCCGCATGCTCCACACGGCGCATAACATCAACCACAACCCCGACGTCCGGGTCACAATCTCCGACATCAACCCCTCCATGCTGGCCGTCGGCCGAGACCGTTCCCGATCTCTCCCGGCCTCCCAGCAGGCCGCCATGTCATGGCTCGAGGCCAACGCCGAGAAGCTCCCCGAGGGCGCCATCAAGGACAACTCGATCGATCTCTACACCGTCGCTTTCGGTATTCGTAACTTTACAAACATTCCCGCCGCCCTGCGCGAGGCTCACCGCGTGCTCAAGCCCGGCGGCGTCTTCGCCTGCCTCGAATTCAGCAAGGCAGACGACTACCCGCTCTTCAACGCCATCTACAAGCGGTGGTCCTTTAGTGGCATCCCTCTCATCGGCCAGCTCGTCGCCGGTGACAGAGACAGCTACCAGTACCTCGTCGAGAGTATCGAGCGGTTCCCAAGCCAGACGGAGTTCAGGGACATGATTAAGGATGCTGGGTTCGTTGTCTCTGGCGAGGGCTATGAGAACTTGACTGGTGGCGTTGCCGCTATTCATAAGGGCATGAAACCTATTGCGTAAATGCCGATTCAGGGGTAATCCAGACATGAGGAAGGAAATTCACAGGAAAAAAGGGGTTTGGTGAGCTCAGAAAGCTCTTGTAAACTGTATGTATATGTATCAACACAGGGAAATCCAATCATTGGCATGGCTGCATGGAAAGCGGGCACCCAGATAGACTCTCTACACTAAATGTATACCAAGAATGGCCGCTGGGCCTGTTCCATAACCACAACCCTCGAACAGCGTTGAGGAATTCCGAGGAAAAGGCAACCACTGCCTTGAGTCCCCGAGCCTGGCTGATTGGCCTTTCGGAGAATAAGAACGTGGACTCCCTTGAGTGAAAGGCCCACTGTGCCCCTGAGTGGTGATCGTCTTGCAGACTCCGGCTTAGTCTAAAAGGGCTTTTTTGTGTTCAAAGCCATTTCAACAGCCTGCCTTTCATTACTCCTGTCTGCCTAGGATGACTTCTAGCTATACCCATAGAAAAGCTTTCTGGCCCTGGTCACCCGAGCTAACGGATGAGCAACTATGGCTTCCTCGATTTCTGCCTCGCAGCAGCGTCGTATCGAGTGAGTTGGTCCGTATCAATCGCCTTTGTTAAGCCATTAGGCTGAACTTTACAAGGTATGTGTCTAGTACATCATGTTGATGCCACGTGCTTCTAGAATCACGCGGCCCTCACAATCAATTCGTTAACGAATATGAACGGGGAGGAGCGTAATATTGAGAGACGGACGTTTGTATTACCTTGGCCTTGCTATGGTCACCTGTAGTTCGTAGTAGTACGGCTTGTCGGATTGACTAGTAATTTAGGACTAGGCATATGGCTAGTCAGGCTCCCCGGCCAGCTGGTGACGAGAGAACGCCGAGCACATCACTCTGGCCTTGAGGTAAAGGCTCCGTCAATAATACTGTTTTATAAGATCGGTGTTATAAAGTCTGGGGGATACCGGGCTTCGTTTGATTGGTATCGATGTCCAAGTACAGAGACACCGCCGTATGGTTTGCAACACCCTGATCACTGCAATTTTAACTACTCCCAAGGGTACGAAGCTATCCTTACCTGACAGCTCATTCCCAGAAGCTTCTGTGGTCAAGCAAACCACCATGACCATTAGCTTCGCATGCGGCGACTGATCAGGGTTTTCACTGCATTTTTAACTCTCCCTAAGGGGGTAGAACCAGGCTTACCTCGGTGTCTCGAAGCTAATCCCCAGAGGTTTTGGTGTAATACACTTCGACAAAACCTCCCTAAGGTAGGGCCGTCAGCAATTTCACTGCAGTCTTAACTCTCCTCAAGGGGATTGAGCCAAGCTTACGGAGTATAGATACCCGACCTCGCAGCACAGTATCAAAGCTTCTAAGTCATAAAAATCACGACGAATCATGCTGCAGAAGGTGGTCGGCGGCCTTCACTGCGACTTTAACTCCCCCCCAACCCAAGGGGACAGAGCCAAGCTTCCCTCGCAGCCTAATGTCAGATCTGATGGAGTTAATCTCGTTGATACAACCTCTAATTTGTCCCTTTCTTTCCCAGCGATGAAATAAATCGGGCACTGCATTGTGAAGTCCCCCCAGAGGAAAGGAAGCAAGCTTACCACGTAACTTCTGAGATGGTGGTTGCCATGTAAATCAGCAAGACCCTCTGATTCGGGCTTCACATCTCATGATACCGCCTTACACAGCATTCTCGACCCCCCCCCCCCCCCCGAGGGGATAAGACTCAGGCCTTGCCCATAGTCGTCTTCTAACCCCATAATAGTGTACTCATGTTCCTACTACTAAAATCGCACGGCTCTGGCCTAGGGCAAAGGCTCCGTTGATAACGCTGTGTCGTGGAATCTGATTCATAAAGTTTTGAAAATAAACTTCTGCTTCTGGTCGAGAAGATCGAATGGCCATTTTACAAAGACACCAGGCGTGCCGATTGCCCGCCCCCGATGAACCTCATGAACTATTTCGTTGGACTCTGCAATTATTGCACTGCAGTTTTCCCTCCCTCTGAGGGGATGCGAGATGCAGCCTAGCTCACATTGCATGTAACACCACAGACGCGAGAGTCATCTACCCATTAGAATGCACAGCAATATTAACCCCTCCCAGAGAGAAGAGAACCCTTGCTCACAGCCCTCTCCAAGATCAATGGCAAAACAGCAGTGCTTTTGTACTGTGGCCATAAGCTGAAGACCTCAATTTGTAGATTAATTCTTTACAGCCATGATACTCAGACATCAAGAGTTCTTGCTGCAAAAACAAGAGACTCTTCTCAGACTTGACAACTGCACTGGAAATCTATTCCATCGAGACTACTCCTACCAATCACATAACATCTACCTCAAACTCAACAGCAACCCAAAGTCAGGTAGAGGTAGTCCCCCCTCTCTTGTACCATCACCTCATACCATCTCATACCGCTGGAAGCACAACCCCCTTTTATGCACTTCTCACCGACGAAGAAAAACTCCCCAAACATGGATGAAAAACGGAAACTTGAGTAAGAAA